TCTCGTGAAATCTGGCAAGACCCCCACCAATCTGTACATTCAGTACTGCTCTAGCGTCACAACTACTGGTGAAATATGGGGTGGAGGGCAGTGTTGTGATTGGGGTGCCAGCAACAATACCTCAGACAGTTCCTGACAGACTCAAGGGTAAAGATTATCTTGCTGTACACAATCTTGGTTATATGCCAAGTACAGGAACACATGAAAAGCTTCAGGAAGCTGACAGGGCTCCCCACAGAAAACCAGCAATGAATGTAATGAAATCCCATTATCTGGGCAAGCACCGGAGGCTCCCTAACAGCCTCCCCCTCTCTGGTTGATGGTTTTCCTCATTCTACAAACTGGTGTGGGGCATTCCCCAGTTAATGTCAGACATGACATACTCTAAATATAGTTCTGGTCCCAGTTCTGGCTCGTGGTCCTCGGTAGGCACAAGAACTCGCGTAACAGATGACCCAAACTAACATAGTACATATTACTCTGGATAGCTTCAGGGAGCCGCTGGAAATTGCCCAGAAAAGGGCGTTTCATTACATTCAGTGCTGATTTTTTAAGTGTCTTCTAGCAATTGTGAGTCTTCTGAATTATTTTCCTTTCCTTTTTTTTATCATCTGCAAATTTAAAAATTTTGCAGTGCTTACATTGGTGGTAAAAAAATAAAGGTCCTAGGACAGAGCCTAGGTTAACTCCACTTGCAATGGTTTCCAAATTAAACAATTCAATTCAATTTATATGTATCCTCTGCTGCCAGTGAAATAACTGTACCCAAACCTGATACAGAAACTTATTTCAAAGATCACAACATACATTGACATTTGAAATATACACAGTTAATGTATGCTATGCATTAATTCGTGTGTATGAACCATCTGACTCAGCAACTGAATCTTACAGATCCCACCTGAAACTCTGTAAAATTAAGAACAAAGAAAATAGCACAGGAAAGCAATATACAGTAAAATCCTATAAAGAAAAGATTTACTAAATATACATTTACACTGTCTTTGCACAAATATAATGTTTAACCCTTAAAGTGAGCATCACGTCACATGACGTGTTGGATGTTGTTCCAGTCAGCTGCGCATCACGTCATATGAAATGTTGGAGTACTATGCAAGATTTAAACGGCCCGCGGATACAAGGGGTTCACCACACCTTCATCAGGGCTCTTGTAAACAGACGCCATTTTTTTTAAAAATCGTGGGCCAAACTCCCGGGTGTTATTGGCCTCAGTATTGAGTGAGCAACCAAGCCTGACGCACGCAGCATGAGCTAACAGCACTGCTGTTCAGCTTGTGACCACAGCATCGCCTAAAAATGCCAAAATATACTTGTTCATGCTATTATGTAGCGATGATATTATTACAGAAGACCCCTGACTAATAAAACTGACCAGGGTTCTGATAATAGCAGGATTGTGGTGATATTTAGCGCTGTGCTCCATGGAAGGAGGAGTAATGCTGTGGGAGGGAGGATGGTGACAATGTCTTCTGACTGTGTGTGGCCACCTTTTATTGACTGCACTCAGCATACCAGCTTAGTGGTTCGCTATGGTGAACACAAATGTAGATACTTATATATAACGTGTGTATAGAGAGTATAAACAGCAAGAGAAGGTTTGGAGCCGCCATTTTGGTGAGGGCGGTGGCGTCGTCTGCACGACGTCACCGTGCAGACGACGGTGTTGTTTACTGGTTACCACGATGGTCTTTCGGCACCATAGCAGTTTATTTGTACAAGTATGGTGAATAAAACAGGTAGATATTTATATATAATGTGTGTATATAGCGTAATAACACCACACAGTATTGTTGGAGGAGAAATATTAGTGCTTCTGGCCTTGAGGGCGGCAGCCATCAGCTGACTGTGAGAGGTCCTATGTCTTTGTGCCTTTACTCACCATACAAGCTTAGATGTACAGTTATGGTGAACAAAACATGTAAATACTTATATATAACGTCTGTATATAAGATATATAATATATAGCGTAATAACACCACACAGTATTGTTGGAGAAATATTTGTGTGTCTGGCCTTGAGGGTGGCAGCCATCAGCTGTGTGAGGTCCTACGTCTTTGTGCCTTTACTCACCATACAAGCTTAGATGTACAGTTATGGTGAACAAAACATGTAGATACTTATACAGTGGAACCTCGATTAACGAGTGGCTCTATTAATGAGTTATTCCAGTAACGAGCAAGCCACTCGCAGCAAATTTGTCTCTATTGACAAGCTCGCCTCTATTAACGAGCAAAACCACATGGTGCTTCCTGGCATCTCGCGGGTTCTCACACGCCTCCGACGCCAGTGTTGTTGTTGTATCGCACACGACAAGTATCCCTCTAGATTTATTTGAGCTTTTCTTTGGGTTTTTAGTGGTTTTGCGACTACAATTTGTAGCACACGATGTCTCCAAAGAAGCTGCTTGCTAAAGATAGTGTTGTCAAGAGGAAGTAAGACACAATTACTGTGGATTTAAAGAAGGAAATTATAGCAAAGCATGAGTGTGGTGTCTGTGTGACTGATCTCACAAGGGAGTGTGGCAGGTCCTCATCAACAATTTACACCATTAGAAAGGGAATGAGGAGGTAAGGGAGGATGCTGTCTCTTCCACTGAGATCAGGGAAGTGTTTGGAATGTTTGAAAAGGTGAACGCATTCTTGGAAAAGCTGCCCTGATAAAGCAGTGACAACCCGGTGTGTGAAAATGTTTAATTAATTTATCACTTTGTGATAACACTTTGTGAAAGTGTTATCACTTTCGCAGGTATATGTCGAACGTGACACACTTTTTTCTCTTGAATGAACCCAAACACCGCGCTCAAGCGTCATTTGAGCAAATATTTCTATAAAATCCAATTCTTATCTGATCGACTTGGGGAGTGTATACATGTTTGCCATGAAATTTCCGTTTTCTTTAATAACCACATTGCCTATTTGGGAGAACGGCATTGTATTGTATCTTCATGGTAAGACCATTATATTGTTGACACAACGAGTGTAATCGACTTAGTTTTTTATTTGGTGCTGGTCTAACGCATCCTTGTGTGACATTTGAAATGAAATTTGGGTGAAATTCCCAAGAAGAGAGAGTCCGCCTGACTCAGAGGTGGATTCTCCTTCCACACCATAACTCCTCTCCTCCTTTCCACCTCTCCATCGTCTCCCTCAAGCCAGCAACTACTCTTCATAAGGTAAACATTAAAACACTACAACAAAACATTTATATTTACATGTGCAGTATTATATATACATAAAAAAAGTCATACAAGTATGGAAGTTTTTGGGAGTGGAACGGATTAAATTTATTTCCTTTATTTTAAATGGGGAAATTTGTTTCTTAAGACGAGTTTTCCAGATAATGAGCTCGGTGCCAGAACGGATTAAACACGTTAATAGAGGTTCCACTGTATATAACGTCTGTATATAGTGAATTATAGCAAAAACAGTATTGTGGGAGGAGAATGTGGGTGACTCAGATGACTGGAGGGAGGGCGGGAGTGGCTGGCTGGTACACGGCGGTCACTCCTCGTTACTTTTTGACTCATAATAGCTACTTAGTGGTTCGTTATAGTGAACAAAACATGCAGATACAGTACTTATATATAACCTGTGCTTATAGTGTAAATATAGGCTTGGGTACAAATATTACTGGGAATATGGAATAGATGTTCATGATAATGACACGAGGTGTAAACTATGTGGTATGTTAAGGTCTCACACCCTGGCCCATTATGTTCTTGATTGTCTGTTGATTAATGTATATAGAAACACTGAGATAAGGACTGTTCCTGAACAAATAGCCTGGATGTGTCACAACGGAAAGGTTGATGATATTCTTGAGAGATATAAGAATTTTGCACCAAGACTGTAATATTTTGTTGAATTATCTGCATGTCTCTTGCAAATTGTCTATACAGTATACCTAGGTCATAAACGTATTTGTGTGTACATCTGATAACATACTACTTGTGAAGGAGGAAATGTATATGTTTATCTCTCAGAATGTTTGGTAATATGTTTATTTGTGATGTGTGTCTATGTATGTATTAACACGTTGTACTGAACGGGGTGAGAATAGCTTGAGCTACCTCATCCCTTTGTGTGTATTTTACCTCAATAAACTTATTTCAATTTCAATTTCAATTTATAGTGTAATAACCGACAAAGTATTTGTTCGCTGATTGATGAACATAATTGAATCAACAATATGCACACAATATTTTTGAGTACAGCAATGATTCACTCATTTTATTATATAAATATATCAAACTACACACTATTGAATAATATTACAGCAAAAAAAAAAAACTATGAAAAATCAATCAGAGACATTGAAATAATTAGGTAATTATCTCTTTGTGGCAACTCCGGCCTGACAGCTGGCGAGCAACAGACCGCCTGGGACGCATGCTGAGTCAGCGCCTATAATTTGCCAGACTTCCCTGCCCTATAGCAGGCAATATATGCCACTTACGATTTTTTTATTATTTTTCCCGTGATCAGTGAACACAAATTAACAGGTTAGGAAGAAAAAATATTTTTTTTTTTTCAAAATGACATGCGCCTGTGGGGATGCAACCTGTCCTCTTAAAAAGAACGTCGCTTTTGGCCGTTTGCCCGTATGGCCGAATATGGACGTAATTTGAAAATGAAAAAAAATTGAAATAAATTAGGGATTTCTTTTTTCAACAACAATAAGTTAAGGGTCCTCTGATAGGTTAGGTGGGCAGGAAATTCTCATAAAGTTTCAAAACCTTATGAAAAACGTTAATTGAAAGTTCCTCTTCTAAGCTGTCCGAGGAGGACCGGACGACTCAAACAGAAAACGGAACAGTACGTCACTTTTGTGAGTCGATTTCATTTCAAATTACGTCCAAATTTGGCCATAGTGCGCATACGGGCCAAAAGTGACGTTATTTTTAAGAGAACGGGTTGGGGGATGACAGGATATTAAACCCCGAGCATGTTAAGGGTTAATGAAGATAAATTTTTACTTACTAAATATATCTTCAGCATCAGCATGATACAGCTTCCCTCTTGTGTAAATTCGAAAGGGACGAGATTCATCTGAAATTCATCAAGTCATTATATATGATCTACAAGAAGAAATAAAGAATTATTTGAACATGTTTGCTGATGATGCCCAACTACTAGGAGAAATAAGAAACTTAGGTGATTTTCATGACCTACAAGATGACTTTGGACAAAATAAGTGTATAATAATAATAATTTTTATTTGCAAGAGGGTACAATGGGTTAGTGAGATTACATAAGACTGGTATTTCTGTGTGGAGCCCCTACGGCTTCCTGGAGCTTATCGGGCTAATGTATGTTATATTAAACCGGGACATTAGCTAAGGAGTTCAGACCTACCAGGGACCAGTGCCAGAACCTGGCCCCTTCAGAGAGGTTTCAGGGAGCAATGGCCCTGTAAAACCCCTTTGTGGTTGGGGTTTTCCTTATCTGCCATCGACCGGGGTTAGGCACCCAGAAAGGTAGGCATAACAAAACAAACCCCACATGGTAAAAAACCAGCGTTGAATGTAATGAAATGCCATTTTCTGGGCGAGTCCCAGAGGCTCCCCAGAGCTATCCCAGGCTGATATGCTAATGTCAGACTTTGGCATCAGTCATGTGTATGGAGTTCTTAGGCCTACCGAGGACCACGGCCAGAACCGGGCCCCCTCAGAGAGGCAAGGGGAGCAATGGCCTATAGAAGCCGCGTGTGGTTGGAAGCATTCTATGTCTGCCATCGACCGGAACAGGCACCCAGAAAGGTAAGCGCCTCAAAACAAACCCCTATTCTGGTTAATATTGCTACCAAAAGCCGGGTTGCTCAGCGGTTGCTCAAGCAGTTGTGCGGGAGTCTGAACTTCGACGTGCTGGTCTGGTCTCGGGGTCGGGTTTGGCTTCTGTGTCTGTTTGGTTCAGGGATTTGAGGGTCAAACAGGTTCTTGGCCGCCCATTCTTTATGCGCGTCTGCTCCTGTGCGTTCTTGTTGCCTTGTCTCGGCTTCGCGTTGCGGAGTTTGTGGCGGCTGCCTCCCGGTTAGCCCTTTCTTTTCCTTCTCTTTGGGTATGAAGCTCCAGGGAGCCTCCAGGGCTCACCCAGAAAATGGCGTTTCATTACATTCAACGCTGGTTTTTACATTTATGTAAAGCCACTAACACACATAGCATTTCGGGCAGGTCTTTAACCTAACATATCTGGTAGGATGAAAAGGTACATTGTAGCAAGGTTTTTATATCAACAAATAACTACAATGTAAGTTGACAATGGTGATTACACTGGTAAGGATATATGTCTTAAGTACTGTACTAATATTGAAGAAGTGGGTAGTACAAGATAAGTGTGAGTTTGAAATACAAGGTAAGAAACTATGAGGATGAAATTAGGTACTTTTTGGTTTTACTTTTGAACAGGGGATGGGTTGGACAATTTTTTATTTCATCAGGGAGTGAGTTCCAAGGACTGGGCCCTTAGTAAGTGTATGGAATAACACTTAGTAAATGGAATTTAATGTGAATAATTGGGAGATTATGGAATGTAGAACAGGAGATAATAGGCCACACACAACCTACAAATTATGTGAAAAAGCTTTAAAGAATTCGGATAGAGTGAGAGATAAGGGTGGTTCTGGATAGAAACTGTCACCTGAGGACCAAATAAAGAGTATTGTGCACGGAACCTATGCTATGCTTTCCAACTTTAGAATCGCATTTAATACATAGATGGTCAAATATTAAAGAAAGTGTTCATAACCTTCATGAGGTATTACTTAACCTCTTATTGCTTCTTGTAGTTGCCTTCCCCTTACGGTGAACTGGTACATTAGGCACAGGGGCTGGTGTACCAAGTGCCTAGAGAAGGGAGCCCTAAATTTATGTAGCTTGAGACAAACAGTGAGGCAATATCCACACAAGAAGTAAGGTATATAAACACATGCACATGAAGTTAACACCATAAATGGAACACAAGCAAAGACCCCCACAATACAAAGTACAAATGATAGCCAACACTTATCTGGAAAACCAGGACTCTAAGGATGAAAGCAAAATAAAAACGAGCATCGAATGTAATGAAACGCCATTTTCTGGGCGAGTCCTGGAGGCTCCCCAGAGCTATCCAGGTTGAATGGATATGTATAACTTTCTGGCATCAGTCAATGCATGGAGTTCTTGCCTACCGGGGACCATGAGCCAGAACCTGGCCCCCTCTAGAGAGGCACAAGGAGCAATGGCCTATAGAGAACCCCCTTATGATTGGGAGCATTCTATGTCTGCCATCGACCGGGATAGGTATCCAGAAAGGTAGGCGCCCCAAAACAAACCCCTATTCTGGTAAACTATTGCGACCAAAGGCCGAACAGCAGGACAGAACTCCCTAAACAAAAATTAGCAAACAAGCACGATGTCATCATGTCGCCGCGCCGCTGTCTGCGCAACCCCCCCTTCCCCTGGAAGAGGCGGGGAAGGGGGGGAGCCCCAGACCCCACTTTCGGAGATCCAACCATTTGTTCTTAGGCTGGATGTCAAAAACGTGAAAACACCACCGACTGGAGGGAGGGAGGGATGCCGGGGAGCCACCGGGACTCGCCCAGAAAATGGCGTTTCATGACACCCAACGCTGGTTTTCTGGGGGGAGCCCCGTCGGCTCCCCGGAGCTAACTACCCAAACATAAGGAAAAACAGGGACTTACCCGGGCAGTGGTCCGTCTTCACTCCTCAACGCGAAGTCGAGACAACTGGCTGCAACCACCGACCCAAAGCAACGCAGGCCTGACTAGGCCCAGGAACATTCACCGGGTAGCGAGCAGCCAGGACCCTGTTTGATCTCGAAAAACCCCAGGCCTGAATGTCCACCCAAGACATGTTGCCAAAGACAGCCGCCAAGGCAGCAAATTTACGCATGTCGTGGGCCCGAGAAAAACCGCAGGCTGGCTACACTTAATAACCCTGCAGACAACCTGAGAGACCCGAGCCCGGGAACAGGGAAGAAGGGAAACGGGATCAACCCAAAGTGCATCTCCGGCAACAAAACCCGTGGCGCGCAAATAATGGCGGAGGGCCGCAACCGGACACAACACATGATGCACCCCCAGCATGACCAACCAACCCGTCAACAACTCACGGCCCCCTCCGGAACGCAGCCGTCTCATTCTTCTCCAGAAAAAAGGGAGACGGCTGCAAGCGAACATAACGACCACCAGGACCGAAAGAGCAGAAACCTCGGCGCCAGAGGAGAGCTCCCCAACCCGACCCCCCGAGGCCAATGCCAACAGGAAAAGAGCCTTAGAAAAACAATCCCGAATGGAAGGGGCCACAACAAACCGAGGCAAAGAGAGAAACGAGAGCAGGCGGTTCAAGAACCAAGACGGCTCCGGAGGCGCATGAGCAGGCCAGAGGTGAAACAATGCACGAGACAAGTTGCGAAATGGGGTGGACGTAACATCAACACCGAAAGCAAGTTGAAGCGGCTCCGCCAACGTTGCGCGATACGAAGCGACAGTATTCGGCATAAGATGACGGTCCTGAAACAACCAAGAGAGAAAGGACAGAACAACCCTATCAGAGACCGAAGAACACTAACGCAGTGATAGGAAAAACCGGAAGGACCGCCAGAAAACCTCATACTGCCGCCGAGACGAAGCACGCAGGTGGGAGACCAACAACAAAGCCACCTGCGCACCATACAAGGAATGATAAATTTGAGTCAAAAACCCAGACGAGAAGATTCGAGGAGAAGACAGAACCAGCCTCGTACAGGGCTGGACCGATCTGCTGAAAGAGGCGGAGCCGAGGGAAGACCCTCGGGTTCGGACACCGAGCAAGCAGCGCCTGAAACCAAGGCTGGGCCGGCTACCAAGGAGCCTCGGTAAGTCTCCAAGCGAATCAGAACCTGGAGCAACAGTGGAACCGAGGGAAAGAGGTACAGGTAACCCCACCTCACCCAGTCCTGCCGGAAGGCGTCGACCCCGACGGCTTCGCAGTCGCGGAAGGGCGCCACGTATACCGTGAGATGCCTCGACCACGCCGAAACGAAGAGATCCACGTCCGGAGTCCCGAACATCCAGCACAGCCAACTGAAGGAGTCGGCATCGACCGTCCATTCCATGGAAAGGGGAAGGAACCGGGACAGGCCATCCACCAGGACGTTGGACACCACCCGGACGTGAACCGCCAGGAGAGCCAAACTCCGAGAACTCAGCAGACGAGTCACCCGAAGGGACCAGCCCCAAAAAGCCAAGGACCGCATCGAACCCCTGTGGTTCAGGCAATGAACCACCGTGGTACAATCTGAATGGAGCCTGATCGTTGATCCGCGAGTGACTCGAATCCTCCGGAATGACATCCACACCGCCACGAACTCCCATACCGAGCTGTGAGCCCAACGGAAGGACGGACCCCACCGCCCCTGACCGGCCTGGTGAACACTGGTCACAAAACCCCAGCCAAGAGACGACACGTCCGTGTACACATCGAGCGAGGGCTCGGGAAGGCGCCAAGGCACCGAACCCCGAAAAACCCGAAGAGGAAGTCGACGACGCAGCAACCGACGCAAAGCCCCTGGAGGTCAAACCCAACGATCGTGAGAGAGGTGGAAGGGCCAGCCCCGAAGGAACCAGAAGCCACAACGAAGCCACACCCGACCCGGCGGGTAGACCATCATGGCAAAGTTCAGGCTCCCGCACAAACTCTCGAGCAACCACCTCATGATCCGGGAACCCCTCAGAAATGGGCGAAGGTGGGATTGCAGGCGCAAGAGAGCCGCTGGAGGAACAGACAAGGAAGCAGTGCGAGCATTCCAAACCAGATCCAGCCAAAACCGAACCTGAGAGGGAAACAGATGGGACTTCCTCCAGTTCACCAAGAACCCGAACCTGGCGAGCTGGGAAAGAACCAAATCCCTGGCGAACAGACACGCAGACTGGCTGGGAGACTAAACCAGCCAGTTGTCGAGATAGGCCAGCACTTGAACACCTAGCAGATGCAGGCGGGTCACCACGACCCGAGTAAGGTGTGTGAAAACACGAGGTGCCAGATTCAACTCGAAGGGAAGACAACGAA